AACGACATAGCAACCAAATTGTTTGGAGCTCAACATAGCAAGAAGTGTCCTAAACACGTCTATTACACTGGCCAGATGCAGTGTTGCCAGAAGAAAAAATTCTGTCGTAACAAGGAACGCGATTTATATATAATTTCACTTATGTTTATTGAGCCCTCATTATCCCCCAAGAAATTCATTTTTCCCCCGCTTGGGGTAATTTACCACTGTTCGCCGACCTCTGATTTAAACGATTTACACGGAAGATCGTGTGAAAGCAGAAATCGATTGGAAAGGCAGGACGTTCAATGCGCCAATTAAAGTAGTCAATCGTGATAAGGAAGGAGCTAAGACATTGTAAGAAGCTGTCTGCCTTTTCTTCAAGCAGCACCTACTCTTAATCATGGTCATGAAGGCAGGGTAATACTTACCAAAGGAATGTTTTCGCGAATAAAATGATGTTCCTTAGAAAAACTGTGGGAATTATGAACCTTGATTATGTTCGGAACACGACGACTCGAAACAGTGTTGGTCGTAAACGGCTCAGTGTAGGTCAAACGGGTCAAACAGTTAAAACTGCGGTGGATTTGACATGTGATAAAGATACAGCATGACAATTCGCCAAGTGGAATTCCTTGATTCGACAGAGGGCGGTGAACCATTACTTGAAGTCCGGACCATCGAGCTTACACGATGACTGACGAAAGATTGGAAGAATGAAAGATGGAACGATATGAATGAATGAATGAATAAACAGATCAATAACTGATTCAATGAAATCAATTAATGAAGTAATGAGTGAATCAAAGGATGAGCTGAAGGTAAAGATGAGTCGTCTTCAAATATTAGATCACTGAGTTTGTTGCTCTACTGATGAAGAGGTCCTTTTGCACGTTAAATCGTGGCTATGAAAACACTGGAACGCAAAAGGGTAGTCCAAGTTCACGTGAAGGCGGTTATCTTGTGAATGAATATTTCGCTGTGATTAATAAAGCATCAGCCTTAGTACAATTAAGATTACGAAGTTTACGGTTAACTGTTACGATGAGCTACGTACAAGAATGGCAGACGAGCTGCACCGGGCGGCATAGTGGAACGCGTTCTGGCCCTTGATGTCGGTCTGCGAGATGGACGCATGCAGGCTATTGACCATGAAAACGACTAGATCGACATGATCGTTTTCGATGGCGATATGCAGCGGGTAGCAGCCTTCCGGTTGACATACTGAGTTCATGCATCTGTAAAAATGAAGGAAGAAAGAAGGGGACGACGACCGGCAGAAAGCTGCTAAAACCTACTCTCGACACTCTTGCTCATTTTCGCACAGGGCCAAGCGTTCGAAGAATGGCAACATGCCAAGTTTCGCGGCGATGTGCACCGGCTGCCATAACTTGTGAGTTTCCACCTGTGTCAGCAATGACGACAAAACCTTTTTATTATCTGAAAATTAATG